ACTAATAGTACTGATCGGTGCTATACCTCATTATTATCACGAGCGGGATATCACCTCCGGAATATTTTCCTTCTTTTCAAAATTCTTTCCACATGGGTGCTTTGTATTCTTCCGTTAGCGGTACCGGAGCCTGTGCTGTCAATTAGGCCCCTTGGTGGACTTATCAAAAGAAAGGTACGCAGCCTGAGTGACTCCCCTTCCTTTCTACACCTTCAGACTGGGGAAAGTAACTACAAGCATATGCTGGAGCTGGCCGACGATGACTAGATGGTTGAATCGAAAATCATCCAAGGGTCTATTCCAGTTAGGGGAGGGGGCATCATGATGCAGTTTCTCGGTGAACTCGAACATTCCAGCTTTTCACGCATGTCAAGTGACTGCCCTCACCCCCCTAGACTGGCTACACTCCCCTGGCTCGGAGTTACCCTAGCTTTCTGGAAAAACTGCATCATGATGCCCCTAACTGGAATAGACCCTCATCTAAATCCTATTACAGACGACAACCCACTTTCTAATGTCTCCAGTTCGAATGCTCATTCGTGCAAGGCCCTGATCGACAAACCTCGTTGTGTTCGAGTATCTGAAAACGAAATGACGTCATTTGTAAGGTTTATTTTTCTGTTCAAAAATTCCATATTCCCCCAGGTGGTGCACAGCAGCCGGTCATCACACTTGAAGCATATTATCACAAAGCCCTCACACCTCGATCATTCGCGATTTTACTACTGGAATTGAGTGTTTGTAATGATGTTTATGTCATCAAGCGCATACAATTTAGATACATATTGATTAGGCGACTGATTAGTCGCCACGTAGCGGAATAGCCACGCCACCCAAATCGCGAACTCTGAACGCGGTATTGCGAACCGCAAGTTAAGAGGAGGGGTGTTATGAAGTCCTGAACCATTGCATACAAACCTGTTCTGTTTCCTCATCAGGATTCTCGATAATACCATGCTCGTAGTGTGCTAAAGCACTGGGATAGTCGCCCCTGGAAACGGGTCAATTACTTCAATTTTTGGGACAATGGCGTCATCTGAGCAAAACTCACATGAACTCTAATTGTTGAGCGTATTCGCGTGAAATATAGGGGATTTCCGATGGAGCAAGTTGTTCAGCAAGCGATAAAGCTTTTGACCAGTCCAGGAGGTCGCGTCGCATCTGAAACAAATCATCATGATTGATCATTAACTAATCGATAATCGAACTTATTGATCAGAAGAGAGACCCACTGCGAGCGCTTCGTTTGGGCATGAACTTTTGAGGAACAACTGTTCGGCTTGATCATATCGACCAAGAAGCATTGAAACATGCGCCGCTAATAAAGTCTTCTCCTCGATTGGAACTATTGATTCCAGTGCCAGGCCCATTGAAACATCGCCAATATGGCGGAATATGCGGAGGGCTGAAACGAATGGTCATGGTCTAACGATAAGGTTGTTCATATAAATCACTCTTCCATGTCAGAATATCATGCCCTGGAAATAGCGGCGGATGCTAGAAGTAGCTCGTAAATGGCCTTGTGGCGTCAGTGTCCACGTAGCTCTAGGTAGGGCCACGTTAATCCCAATCACTTCACACCAATAGTCCCGAGAAATCAATTTTTGAAGGTGCGGGTCGGTTGGTATGTTATTTTGCCATAAGAAAAGAAATGCGAAAAGGAACGTTGGGTGGGGAAAAGTGAAAAGCACCATAGAAAACACTGAAATAACCTTGTGAAATCAGCCGTGGTATGACTGAGATACACAGCCTCACAAGGAGGCGGAAACGCGAGAGAGCACGTTGTACGCGAGAGGGCGCAAACGGCACGTCTGTCGTGGTTGATAAGGCTGGCAGCGGTCGCAGCGGTCAGTAAAAACATTAGCTCCCTCCATGAGCGCACTTTCAAGTCGCGACAATCTCATAACTCCATGATTAAGGGTTCACATCCTCGCTCACAGGAATAAAATTTCTCCAAGGATCTGACTGTGACCCTTGCCTTAAATACCCGTAGAACAGTGACTAGAGGTTTCTAAATGAATAAAAATAATTTAGAAGTTTCAAAGTATCGTGCCCCGAAAAATGCATCTGTTACTTGAATATCATGAAAGGTACCTCCTTAAAGAGCTAATGCTCAAAGAGAGAAGAGAGTCTTCAAGCATTAGCTCTCCAAAGGGGTAACTTTTATGATCTTCGACTGACCGAAGCACATTTCGGGGCATGATATTTTGAAACTACCAAATTATTTTTATTCATTCAGAAATATCTAGTCACTGTTCTACGGGTATTTAAAAGCGAGGGTCGCAGTCCGATCCTTGGAGAAATTCTCTCCTTGTAAGCGAGGTAGGTGAACCCTCAATCATGAAGTGCTCAAAATGCAAAAGAGGCATTTCCAAAACTTTTCTTATTAGAGTGGACGTGTTTCTGCAAGACTGTCGACTACCCAAAACTTTGACTGTCCCGCGTTCTGTTGATTTGTTGATGCATCACCTTATTTTATTTGTGTACCCAAGGAAACTCGCTCTTGAGCATCTCCACATTCGGAATTTGATCCGTCACTGATTTGACTTGTTCTGAAGTTTTGTTCTGTTCTTCGCTGATCAACGACGGTCTTATCTAACCATAAGGAGTGACGTGCTTCTTAGCGACAGTCATTGCAGTTCAGATGTTTCTGCGTGCTTTGTAGCCAAATGTTATCGACTTAGTCATTGCTCTTATCTTTCACGCTTTACCAGCCGGGTTCCTCCATCTTTTCTCGAATATTTTAAGCTGCAACAAAATTGTGTGAATGGTCTAAATTCGGATTCTGTGTTGTTTTATCATTTGCCTTTTATCGCTACAGTTTGTGCTACAAAATCATATTATGTTGATGTACATTCGACAATAGAAAATTTTTTGCCTTATATTAGGATCAAGCGCGAACTCTCGTCCCTACCCCAGAGGATGCGGCTACCATCTAACATGTGCGCCATTTTTTACTCTAATTGAAAGGAAGGAAACATTGCTGCTGTTTGGTGTGGTGCCATTCCGCGCTGTTCAGCAAGGTGGACCAATTCATTTTCAGGTGCATCCAGCTTACCCTATTTGCCATTCACTTAACCGCAGTTCGCTATGCGTTTTTGGCTTTTCTTAGCCACGTGGGACACGAGCGATTTTGCGAGCGCGGCCGCCTCATGTCGCACCCGTAAATTTTGAATGATAACTTTGGAAAGCACTAGTGTAAAAAACCATTTCAACAGCATTCTATGTGTAGAAGGTAATCGATGATATAGTGGTGAATTCCTATTCAAAAGAGTGTAATGGTATGAAAAAGGAACTTAGTTCTATTTTTTCTCGTCATGGAAATGCCGGAACTACCTCAATTGTGGTTAGCGTGCCAATGTAAGGCATGATTTTTCATCCAATTGGTTTGCATTAACTTTCTACTACCGTATATCGTCTATCGAAGGTCAAGTAAGAATGTTGAAAAGTAGAATTACCGACTGCCGGATTCCGGCGCACTTTCAAAACTTCAATTACAGTAAATTGAGGGCATGTGCGACCATAGCCCTGTTTCACTAATTATATTTATGTTGTAACTTAATAACCTATGATAAGAAACGAATTGGGAAATAGCCCGCATACGCGTTAGAACAAAGGGATACAGGAAGTATTGCGCAACCGCGCGCTCACTGTCGTCAATTTTTAACCTTATGTTATAGCTCTCGATCAATTCTTCTGTATTATAGCGCTTGGAATATCGTAATCAATTTAACTTTTTGTTTTGTTCGTAACTGCTGTCTTTAACGCCTGCAGTTGCGCGTTGCTTAAATGTTGCAGCATCACCATTTCAAGAATGCTGGGTTGTGAACAAAACTTTCGCCCCAGGCGGGACTAGAACCCGCACCTCTCGCTTTCCGGGCAAGTGCGCTACCAGTTACGCTACCGGGGCACCATTTCATTCCAACTCAGCTTTTCATGGTATACGTACCATAGCTTTCAGCACTCACACGTCTAACGTGTTGAGCCGGTTAGCCGATATCGGCAATGACCGCGAGGCTGAAAGCTTTAGCAATGAATTTTGACTTGTTTTGTTTGTTAACTGCTGTTTAACATGCCGCATTCGCTTTTACGTAATTTTCACAAACCCGCGGAACGCTTCGTAAAACAGCAGTAACTATTTTATTTTTCTATTTTTATTCAACAATTTAGCTAAAAATCGAAAATTTAAAAAAAAATAAATAAATAAATAAAAACAGTATTATTTTGAATCCACTGCAACGGATTTAGTTGAACCAAACGTGTAATAAGCAATGTGAGACTTTCGTGTTTTTAATTTTTTGAGCCTTCTGCAATAAATTTTGAATCTCGCAATGTTTGTCAGATTTAGATTCAAGTGTGAGACTTTGGACAAAAACAATTCTACAGGAATCTTTTGAACTAAGCCCCAACTCCAGACCAAACAAATGATTGGGTAGCAGCGGTCGACAGTGAAATTATGGATGCCGAAATGACTGAAAAGGGAAAAAGAAGCAAGACAAACCACCGATAAAGTCCTCAGATAAGTAATTTCTTGTCTCCCTTGAAATAAGGGAGGGAGGTGTTGGACGAGTTGTCTGAACTTGCTTGCTCCATGACTTCACTAACCCGTCCGTATTCGAGTCAGCCGCTGCGTCGTAATTCTTTTCGCGTGAGGGCGAGTGCGAGATGTCTTGTCCATCAACTCACATTGGTTGTTTAGCTCACTTTGTAAGCCCTTGCACATTTTTCATGCACTTTTGAGCCGCGCAGGCAGCATGGATGTTATAACAGTGGGCCACCTAACCTACCCACAGAATAGATTGTTCGAAACGACTTTATCTGGGGTTGTTGCTTTGTTAGAGAATATGCGTTCTGCGAGAAACTTCGGGTGCATCTACAATCCGTTCTCTTGTAGATTTCTTGGGTCACCTTGACTGCAACTCGGGGTATTATGAGCAGCTCCCGAACGTTTAGCCAACGTGTGAACCAAATTTTGCAACAACGGCCCTACTCATTCAACGGAAACGCCGTAGAACAGCTCGTTCACGAGAGAATCAATCAGTGCGATTGCATCCTTGCACGCTTCCATCCACAATAGTCAGCACTAGTGGTCGACGATTTTTGCTGGCAAGCGATGAGATTTGATCCCCGTTGTCACTCACACAGCGTGAGGTCGCTAAGCGGCCCGTTCAAAATTGTCATGAAAACTAAACGCACGTACATTTCTGACAAATAAGATACATATTTTATCCCTTATTCCCTTCCACTTTGCCCTAATATCATATCAGCGAACAGTGACAAATTCAAAAATAGTTGCTGGAAAGCGGGTCTAACGAGGTGGTTGCAACAGAATGAGAACGACACTTTTAGCTCCTCCATACAGGGTTTCAGTGAAACTTTCCTTTTTCGATGTTACCTGAGAGCACGGATGTCAATTAACAAAAATATTGGAGACAAATGAGTTCATGGTTTTTTCTTTCTCTGTGACAGGACGCCTAACGGCTCCTAATCGTATTCTCAAAAAGGGCACAATGGGGTAGTAATATGTGCATCACCGAGAGTTAAAGTGTTAAGCAGCTTTTCAGCCGACACCATGAGTAGCTTTTCTATCATGGAATTCAGATGGCGCGTATTCAAAATAGGTCCATTATGAGTCACCTTCCCAAATTCATCATTCATGTTCAGCTATATGAATCATCTGCGTTGAAACAAAGGCTGTACAATGTGCAGGGGTTCCTATTTCAACCATTTATATTACTGCCTTGTCTATTCTTTATTTTCAAATATTACCAACTCAATTGTAAAGCGTTCTACAGCTTCAGTGAATGAGAATAGAGCAGCAGATTGCACTTCCCTTATCAGTACCTCGTCGCATGCCGAAAAAAACTTTCTACTATTCATCACAGCACATCACAGCTTCTATCTCTTTCCATGGCTTTCTCCTCGCTTTCTACTGACTCAGTGGTCCAATTTCTCGCTTAACAATATTCTGATCTGCTTTTGTCACTTTCAACTGGGTCCGCGATTCCGTATTCATTGTGGATGCATGGCGCAACCCTTTCGTCTGGAAGTAAGAACGGAAGGAAGCGAGCATTCGTGAGCTTTTCTCAAAAATGGGCTATCCTGGCGATATGTCTATTAGATTTTTTAGCGTAAGTATTATAAATAACCCAGTGCGGCGCCAAAGAATTTGTTGCAAAAAAGCTGAAAAAATTGATTTTTTTTATTTCAATCACCTGATCGCTGTTGACTTTGAGCGATCGATGCCTTCAGAATTGACAACAAAGAGTTATCCGTTACGCCATTGTGTTCTACTTTGTTGACATTTCCCACATAGCTGACGCGTTTTTATCGCTGCCAATAGTGAACGTTGATTCCGTAAGGGTTTACTCAAGCTACCATTCTTTGGGCCTTTTTCAAAGTTAATTTTTTTTGGATTCATTCTGTTTTAATCAATCCTACTCTTTGCTGCACCCTTACCGTACTAAGAGCCTAACTAATTCAGGAAGGACATATGAATGCGATACATAGCCTGAAAAACGACTAAGCTTCTGACGTTAATAAATTCCTCATTTGGCACACGCCACGCATTCGACGTTTGCTCAGAATAGAAGAATGAGTTTGAATGTTTCTCATTGT